TTGAGATAAATGTTTCAGGTCATTTGTTTTCGCCGAGGTTTCTCGTCGGTCGTCAGTCGAACATGTAGTAGCCATTTCGCCTTTCTCTCAGGATGCATTTTTGCGGTCATCCATGTCATTAAAAAATTGCTTATTCATACCCTTATTTTGGCATATAAAAAGTATGAACCTTGTTTACGGTAAGCAGTGAATTGATACTGCAATATGCAAAGTACAGCCTTGCCTCTCAGCCGTCACCCTATAGTGTTGATGCTGCGAGAAACATTCCTGCTGTATGCCTTCGCTGATGGAAGTTGAAAATCTTTAACTTTTGCTAGAACTGTATTAAAAATTTATGTCAACGTTTCGGTGCAACAACAAAGAATTAATGACATAATCCGGATCGGCCCTGTGTCACTCAGTCCGGAATTTACATTTCTTCCTGCACCTAGCGTTGAATTATATAGAAGGATGAGGAGTATTCTTTGCACATTTTGTGTTTTAGTGCCAGAATAAGAAGGGGCTCTTTTATCAATAGCCCTAAGCTGGACCCTTTACCAAAACGCTCGTTTCGCTAACGCCATTTGTCCCTCATTCACGGCATCATATACAACGCACGTGTATTCAGCATGACAGTGAGAGATTGCGGACAGATGTTCGTTCACTCTGATATTAAGCTGTTTGCGAAGAAAATATAAATTCGGCCGCAATCGTCGCACTTTTTCTTATAAATTACACTGAGTACATTATCTGAATTTTTTGGATGGAGTTTAGTCATCCATTTGTATAGTAGACCTCAAACTTCATTTTGATCAAAAATTTTTTGACTTGCTCTGGAACTATGGTAAAAAATGGAATAATAATTTCAGGTCAGTTTTATAATGGATTCAAGTTATTGTTGGTGTTTAGCAGTTCACTTTTAAAAATGTCATCAGGTAAGAGCTTTGAAGGATCTTGTGAAAATCGTTAATTTCTTCATTCAGGTTTTTCAAATGTTAGACATTGCCGCTCCGCGATGACGTACATTCTTTACCATGTTTTTAAATAATGCAAGACGGGGAGGAGCAGGATTTTGGATGAATATGCCACTTGGAGAGAGTGTTTCCCTTATACCGAAAATTCTAACTTCCAATGTTCCTTCTGGCTGCCACCCTTTAAAAAACGTCCAGGAAGGACTGCGCTGTTGTTGCTCAATTTTTTTGTCGAATTTTATGCGATTATTGCTACCCTATAGATTCGTATGCGCCGTGAAATCATTCAAAGTTGTGCAATAACTTTAAATCGAACATCTTTTACGCACTGCTCTCGTCTGATTGTGATTACGATATCCGTGGTCGTTAATGCCTCCCACGCACCTAAACCGTACAGAATTTTCCAGTAGAAACATCCAGACATAGGCTAAAGGCGAGTATAATAGTGCATAAC